TGTCACAATTAGGGAGATGTATCGTGGAGCAAACTCTGGGTTTAATGCTAGTTCTATGATTTCCTCGTTATGTGATTCAAACAAGACATCCTGTGTGGCTCATCTTTCTATCTGTAACATGGAATAGTCATAGTTTGCACCTCACAGGGTTCTTTGAAGATTATACACACATGCCCAGTGTGATTTTCAAACCACCAGGTCTGGGACTTGAACTGCGGATTGTCCACGTGAGATCCAGCATCTTAACCTCCACGCCACCTGCTGGCCCAAGACTCCTTTTATTTCACTATTTTTCTGGGAGCTTTTATTCATAACTAGGTGTTAGAATTGTATGAAATAATTCTACATTTTTGAGCTCACCATTTTCCCCCCCGTTAATATGGTAAATTACATTAATATATCTCCCTGGGTCATTCCAGGACTAACCTTATTCGTCACTATTTTTAAATTTATGTTGATGGGCTTAATTTCCTGATACTGTCTGGAGTGTCCTGCAGGTTCCCATGAGAGGTTTGCCATCCCGTGTTCCTCTGCCTTCTGTCCTTGCTGCTGGTCTGTGCCACCTCCTGAATCGAGATGGGAATTTTCTTCTCCCAGTCTTTTTATTTATTATTTTTAGCTTGTATAGGACATGTGCACTTGCCACAGTGAGGGGGAGAGAGAGTGCACGCGAGTGAGAAATTACGCGATAGTGAGGGTGGCCGCCCCACAGTCCCTCCGCCACCGTTTTCTCTCGGCATTTGGGGCAGGCATGCACTCGGGTCCAGGATGTCTTTCAAGCCACCAAGTCTGAGACTCAGACTGCGAAGACGGCCATGTGGGGTTCAGCCACTTTAACTACTACACCACAGGCTGGCCTTAGTTCTGCTATTTGGAGCAAATTGTGTAAGATAGGGATTGTCTGGTCTTCGAGAGTTTATGAAGGTAGTCTGGAAAGCAGCATAGATCTAAAGTTTTACTTGAGGTTTTCTTTTTTAAAAATATATAGATTTATTTATTTTATTTGTTCATTATTGTCCATTCGTTTGACAGAGAGAGACAGAGAAAGAGAGGGAGGGAGAGTGAGAAAGCAACCTCCAGGTCTAGGACTTGAACTGTGGTCAGCCATGTGGGAATCCGGCGCCTTAACCACCATGCCACCTGCCGGCGCCGAGGTTTCCTTTTCTTAATCAGTGGATTCAGTTTTCTTACTGGTGATAGTCTTTCAAGTTTTTCTATTTCTTCTGAATTGGAATTGGTCCATTATAGTTTCCTGGAGGACTGCCTAATCTGCCTGATTTAAAATTAATTGGTGTACAGATGTTTCCATTGTAGTTACAGCTGCATTCTCTTTTCATTCATTTTTTTTCTTTATTCCTGATAAAATGCACATGTACACACTTGAGAGTGAGAGAGAGAACAAGAGAGACGCACCCTCCACAGGGTCCGGTCACACTGCACCCCCTTTCTCTAGCCCTCCAGTATGCCAGGTTCCTGGGTACTCACGCACCTGCCCCGCCTTTCGAGGTGACTGGGCTGAGCACTTGAACATGTCACCATGTGGGATCCAGCTTCTCTTCTGGCAGCAAATTACTGCTGCTTTCTTTTCCCCTCGACTCGCCAGAGGGATGTGCGCTTGTGGCGCATGGTCATGCTGCAGTTCCCTTCCTCCACCTCTCCTTCCCGTCAGACACCCGGCACGCATGCATAGCGCCTCCCAGGGCCGGGACATACGCCATGGCTGGACGTTCGGGATCCAGCTCCCAGTGCACAGTGCTTACCCTCTGTGCTAGAGAGGGGCCAGCCTCCTCTTTTATTTCTAACAGGACCAATTTATTCTTTTCTTAAAAAAGAATTATTTAATTTAACTTTACTTATTTATTTATTTATTTTAATTTGACCAACTGGGGTGAGGGAGAGAGAAAGAGAAAATGAGAAGTCAAGCCACCAGGTCTGGGACTCAAACCGCGATCAACCGTGTGTGAGTCCAGCACCCTTAACCACCACACCGCCTGCTGGTCCGCTTTTCTTTTTTTCTTCTTGACAGTGTCTTTCTTTCCCAACCATGACGGCACAGGTCTGGGTCTGGATTCTGGGTCAACTGGAACACACCATCCATGCCTGAGTATGCCTGGGATCCTGGCTGGCTGGGAGGCTGTGGGGAGGATGTGGCATGGCAGGACCATGTCAAGGGCGCCTGTTTGTGTGTGTCTTTGTCTTATGAAATAAAAAAGCTAAAAAAAAAAAAGAAGAAGAAGATAGTGTCTGGGGCTGGCAGGTGGTGTGGTGGTTAAAGTGCTGGAATCCTGCATGGCTAACTGCAGTCCTAAACCTGGTGGCTTGCTTTCTTGCTTTCCCTTTCTCTCTCTGTCTCTGTCTGGTCAAATTAAAAAATAATAATAATAAATGGAATTAAATAAAAACTTCTCTTTTTAGAGAGAGATTTTTACTATAGTAAAATGTGTGTGTGCGTTCAATGGAGAGACAGAGACAGAGAGGCAGAAAGCGAGAAATCAGTCCTGAGGAGGGATGGCCGTGCCACAATCCCTTCTCCTCCGTTTTCCTTTCGGGATCTTGGGCACGCATGCACACGCACCCAGCGTGAGTTTAAGCCCCTGGGTCTGGGACTCACACAGCAGTCGACTACATGGGAGTCCAGTGACATAGCCATTACACTAACGGCTGGTCCCGTAACTTAAATCTTTAATGTCTCTATAAAGCCAAGTTAACCCACTTGGGAGAGAAATTATATATGGCTGGGTCTTCCAAACTAGCACAGTTGGGGCATTTACATAAACATAGTCATCCATTCTGAAACCAGAGAGCCCAACCTCTAGGATCGCAGCCCTACCTGCCTCTTCAGGAAACCTGAGGCTCTTTTTTTTTTGTGTGTGTGTGTGTGGTAAAGAATTATTTATTTAATTTTATTTATTAGTATTATTTTTAAAGTTTTTTTAAAATAATTATTTATTTTAATTTGAGAAAGAGAGAGAGGGAGGGAGGGAAAGTGAGAAAGCAAGCCTCCAGGTCCGGGACTTGAACTAGAGTCAGCCATGTGAAAGCCCAGCACCCTTAACTACCATGTACCTGCCGGCCGCCTGTCAGGATTTTGGGTATTCATGCACCCAATGTGATTTTCAAGCCACTGGGTCCAGGATTTAAATCACATTTGACCACGTGACAGTCCAGTGTATTAACCACCATGCCTTCTACTAGCCCCTTTTATTATTATTATTTTAATTCACCAGAGAGAGAGACCCAGAGAAAAGGGGAAAGTGAGAAAGCAAGCCACCAAGTCTGGGACTCAAGCTGGGGTTTGGCCATGTGGGGGTCCAGCACTTCAACCACTGTTCTACCTGCTGGCCCCAGCCTAGGGCTTTTCCTTTTTTTTTTTAATGATGAGTAAATTTTTAAAGAATTATTTTATTTAGTTTTACTTATTATCATTATTCTTCAATTTGACCAGCGAGAGGGAGAGTGAGAAAACAAGCCTCCAGGTCTGGGACTTGAACTGTGGTCGGCCATGTGGGTGTCCAGAACATGTGCCAAGAAAAAAAGTGAAAAAAAAAAAGCTTAAAAATTACTGCCTAAATTTAACAATTGCCACTGTTTAAATTTGAGCATCTATTTTTCCAAACATCTTTATTTCTTGGTTTTTTAGAGAGCTGGGGAGAAAATCCTGTGTTTTTTCTTTTTCTTACATCAAACGTGCACAGGTAGGCCATGATATTGGTTGGTTCTTTATGAACTGTTTCCTAATTTGGAAATAACTGAAAAGGTATGAGCAATATTAGACAAAAATTAAATTAAAAAAATTATTTATTTATTTATCCACTCATTTATTTTTTAATTTGACCAGAGAGAGACACAGAGAGAGAGAGAGGGAAAGTGAGAAAGCAAGCCACCAGGTCTGGGACTCTAACCGTGTTCGGCCATGTGGGAGTGTCCAGCACCTTAACCACCACGCTACCTGCTGGCCCCCAAAATTAAAATATTTTCCATACATAGTCATCTGTTTTCCTCCTTGCCCCTTTCTAGTTTTTCCATTGTGTAAAGATAGAGACAAAAGATGGTATGGAAGTTAAGGTGCTGGATCCCACAAAGCTATCTGCATGGTTCAAGTCCTGGACCTGGCAGTTTGAAAATCAGACTGGGCACACGTGGGTGCATGCCCAAAATCCAGAGAAGAGACTAGACGAGGAGGGATTGTGGCATGGCCATCCCCCTAGCCCACCCTTCGAGGTGACTTCTCACTTTCCCTCTCTCCGTGTCTCGCTCTGGTGAGCGCATATGCCCTATAGCAAAAACTAAAAAGAAAAAAATATGAAAGAAGGTGAAGAGAAAGGAAGAAAGTTTGATGTGGAAACAACATACTCAAACAAGAGACTAAAAATAACAAAAGCTAGGAAACATCAGTGTATTTCAGATACTTTGGAGGGTGGAAGAGGTTGATAGAAAAGCCATGTGGACCAGCATCTCTTCCTCCATGTCGCTGCCCAGTCCGAGGGGCTGAGAGGACAGTGATAATGCTGAGACTAGTTAAGTCACTTGTCTTCGCTGGAATTTGGGGCTGATGAGATCAGAGATGCGGGAAAAAACGAAACAGTGAGCATCCCTAACAGATTCTGATCTCAGAGCTGGGACAGCAATTGGGAACAAATACCACAAAATGATATACCGTGGGGCCCAGCGGGTGGTATGGTGGTTAAGGTGCTGGACTCCCACGGAGCCGACCTTGTTTGAGTCCTGCACCTGGTGGCTTGCTTTCTGCCTTTCCCTCTCTGTCTCTGGTGAGCACACATACCCTACAGCAAACTTAAAAACAAATAAATGAATAAATAATTCTTAAAAACATGCCATGCCATTAGTCCCAAAGGCAGGTGGAAGGAATGACTCAGCATAATGTACCGTAACTCCCAGGAGGAAGTGCCTCGAAGCTTCTGTCTCGCTGCGTTTTATTTTTACAGTTTTTATGCATCTTGCACGTGATAACCATGTTGATTCGCTTCTTTGAATTCCAGTGCAGATTGCGTTAATATTTGGCGCAAGAGTATTAGACTATGTCTTCAATTTGTGTGAAGGCAGATTTGACTTCCTTGAACGGCTCTCAGACGCTTTGCTCCTGAGCATCATTTCTTATCTGGATCTGGAGGACGTCGCCAGACTTTCTCAGACGTCGCGCAGATTTGCAAAGGTAACAGCCAGTTATTTTGGCTCTAAATAGAATCTTCTCTGTGCTTTCTCAAAGGTTCTTTTTTTAAAATTTCTTGAGTGAAAGAGACAGATACCCTTGATAGGATCTGCCACATCATCCCCTGCCCCCGCCCCCCGCAGCCTCCCAGCCAGTCAGGATTAAGGGTGCACCTGGGGGTGCTCCCAGAATGTTTACATTAACCTGGGGTCAGAACCCTGGGCCTTCCCACGTGGCTCCAGTGTCACTCAGGAGCACCCTACTGCCTGTGCCACTGTGGCTAGGCCTTTTGTAAACATGTAAAATGGTTTTATTATTTGCCCTGTTTTTTTTAACCATGAATCAAATTTCCCCAAAAGGGGAATTTTATTGATTACTTTATTCCCTCACAGAAAGACCAACTGTAATCAAATGAGTGAACACTCACCTCAAGGTCCTGTCGTCTTCACAATACAGGAGATGAGGCTTGGAGCCGGGTCGCCGGGCCCTTTCTCCTCTGATCTCCCGGGGCTCACATCTCTTAGCCGGCGTCCTCTCAGGTCTGCGCGGGGCTCACCACAGTCCAGCCTCAGCACAATCTTCTTTGTAGTTTTTGCCTTTCTCTGGGAAATAGGCTCAGTCTGCTCACCGTCGCTGCCCTGCTTCCTGTCATAACGCCGCTGTCCCTGAGCGCACGGAGAATCCTCGCCCTTTTTGTACTGTGCCACTCTATGAGGTTGGTGCTTGCCACACTTCTTACAGAAGGTCTGGCGAGGAACCAGCCATTGGCATAATGGCTATGTCGCTGGACTCCCATGTAGTCGATTGCAGTTCGCGTCCTGGACCCAGTGGCTTAAACTCACGCCGGGTGCTTGTGCGTGCGTGCCCAAGATCCCGAGAGGAGAATGGAGGAGAAGGGATTGTGGCGTGGCCATCCCCCCTTGGGGGTGATTTCTCACATTCTGTCTCTCTGTCTCTCTCTGTCTTTCTGTTGAGCGCACACGCCCTATACACACACACACACACACACACACACACAGAAAGTCCAGTGGGTTTTAGGGCTGTTCCTCCATGTCTGCGGGCCTGCTAACTGCAGAGGAAGAGGGAAGCAGACCGGGACTGGAAGTATGTCTTTCATTTATTTTTAACAATTATTTATTTATTTAATTTATTGATATTTTCAGGAATTTTTTAAAATTTAACTTTATTTAAATTTGACTAGAGAGGGACAGGGACAGAGAGAGAGAAAGAGAAAGTGAGAAAGCAAGCCGTCAGGTCTGGGACTCAAACCATAGTTGGCCATGTAGGAGTCCAGTACCCTTAACCACCATGTCACTTGCTGGCCCCTATTTATTTATTTATTTATTTATTTTTGAGAGATTTTCACTATAGGGCGCGTGCGCTCGCCAGACAGACAGAGAGAGACATAGAGACAGAAAGCGAGAAATCACCCCCCAGGGGGGATGGTCACACTGCAATCCCTTCTCCTCTCGGGATCTTGGGCACGCATGCACACATGCCTGGCGTGAGTTTTAAGCCACCAGGTCCGGGACGCGAACCGCAGTTGACTACGTGGGAGTCCAGCGACATAGCCATTACGCTAACTGCTGGTTCCCTATTTATTTATTTTTTTAAAGAGGTTTTTGTGATAGGGTACGAGTGCTTGTCAGAGAGATGGAGACAGAGGCAGAAAGTAAAACCCACCCCGCTGGGGGGATGGTCACCCTGCAGACCTGGCTCCTTCATTCTCCTCTCGGGATTTTGGGCATGCATGCACACATGCCCAGTATGAGTTTCAAGCTGCCAAGTTTGGGACTTGAACCATGATCTACCATGTGGGAATCCAGTGCCACCTGCTAGTTCCTCAGCAATCATTTATGGAGTACTAACTTTGCAACAGACACCGTCCTAGGTATAAAAGGCATTATTCCTTCGCCCCAGGAGCTTCCAATCTAGTGAGAGGCCCATGGGGCACAGTGAGTGGAATGTGTCTGATCGACTCAGCAAGGGGTGTGTGTGCAAGGTACGAAGACCGTGTGTGATTTCCTCAGGCTTTGCTGAAGTCGGTTGTTTCGTCTGGGTTTGGAGGGATTTTGACAAGTGGCCTTGAGGACTAGGAAGATTCCAGATCAAGGGGCTTCCAAGCTCAGTCATAGGCATGGTGGCCTAAGAGAGAAGGCAGTAGTAACCGCCCCACATCCACGTCCATTTCTCCCAGGAATGGCCCGGGTGGGACCGCCTATCTCCCCATTATCTGTGGGCCTGGTGGGTGGTCCGTGCAGTGCCCTGTTCTCACCTGGGCCCTGCTGACCAGGTGCGCCCTCTCACTACCTCGAACCCTCAGCACAGTGACATGAGGACAGAAGACAGTGCTGACTCAGCCGGTGTCCGGGCTTTGATGTGACCTTTGTTAGTCCCATTCCCTGGGTCCTGGCAGGGGCCGTGGTTCCTGTGCCTTCAGGTCCAGAGCCCCTTCTCCCACGGTCGCCCAGTCCTAACCCTGTTATACCCCTCGGCTTAAGTTAATCAGACTTGGAGTCTGTTGCCTACAAACGAAGAACCCTGACTCGCTTGTTATTTGCTGTAATGTTTTGGGGTGATGTTCATTTATAAAAGAACACACACCATTTGTACACTCACAGAGAGAGACGGAGAGAGAGGGAAAGTGAGAAAGTAAGCCACCAGGACCGGGACTCAAACCATTGCTGGCCATGTGGGAGTCCAGCACCGTAACCACCACGCCACCTGCTGGCTCCTTCCATTTCAAATGTCCAGGGACAAGTTTATTATCACATTATTTGTGTCCACGTGTAACGCTTTATTCTGATTTCAAGGAGGGAGATGTTCCTGTCCTGCGGATGTTCAGTGTGTCCCGCCACCTGCCACCACGGCCCGTGGACTCCACTTACCTCCTTTCTCTCCTCTTTGTTGCTGCTGTTTATTAAAAGCTTGATTTAAAATTAGGGTTATAAAAGTGTTTCGAAGGTAATACAGAGTTGCATGTACTGTCCACCCGGCTTCTGCAGTGTTCACAGCTCACACAACCGTGGTCCATCATCAGAACTAAGCAACTAATGGACCCAAACACAGACATTGATTGGATTCCATGTTCTTCACTGATGCCCTTTACCGTTTTAGGATCCAGTCTAGGTTACTATGCGGCATTTCATTCTGATTGCTATAGCTTTTCTTCTCTTGATTCTTTCCCTCCTCTCTGTACTAAAGTTTTTTCTTATTTCAGTCTTATCCTTTGAAACATGAAATGCCTGACTCTATTTTTAACCAATCTCTCCCCTCCCTTAAGTTTTTAATTGTCAGAGTGTGTGTGTCCTGGTCAGAGAGAGAGAGACAGAGAGGAAGAGAAAGCGCCCCCCACAGGCAGTAGTCACGCTGCAGCCTTCCTCTCCGTTCCTCCGTCCTGTCAGGATCTGGGGCGTGCGTGCACACGTGCCCTATGTGTTGCCCAAGCTATTGGGCCGAGACGTGAACCTCCGTCCACCACATGAACAGCACTTGGCCGCTGCATCACGGGACCAGCCCGCTCTCCTTTAAGAAGGGTGGGAAGGGAATCTCTCATCTGTTCCGTTTGGGCTGTGGAGAGAGTTTTCCTTGTGTCCGTGAACCCCCGCCGTGGCTGCGATCCCATCTGACCACGCAGGCGAAGCACCTGGAGAGCAGCTGTCAATCTGGATGCCAGGCCCACCCGTGAGCGCCTGGCTGGTCGGCCGGAGGGGGACTTGGCATCGGTGCTCTTAGTGTGTTTTCTTGTGTTTACAGAAACCCAATTCTAAGGATCTGGCCCTGGAATTTGATCCATCGATGTTAAAATTGTACAGATAAATGTTTCAGTAGCGTCTAAATGGCAGTGTGGGAGATCTCAGTCAGTCCTAGGGCAGAGAGCTGGGTTCTGTTCTTAGCCCGAGTGTCCCCACCTTGAGGCTTAGGCGGCAGCCTTCACCTTCATGTCCTCTGAGCCTCAGTTTCCCCATTTGTAAAAGGACAGTTAACTACGTAAACCCTAGGATTTCTTTCACCGTTCAATTGTTATGTGTGTGCGAAATTTATACACCACCACTAGGGGGAGCAAAATCCATGAACAAAGTAGCTACAAATATGGGATGAATACTTCGTGTTTTACAACCTGGGCGTCTTTGATGGAGATATTTATTTTAGTTTAATTAATTAACTGATTAATTTTTAAAGACAAGGTTTCACTGTAGTGGTCCTCTGCCTCAGCCCCCTTCTCTGGGACAAGAGGTAGGTGATACTGTCCAGCCTTCAGGTTGGACTGAGAATCGAGCCTACGCCTCCCCTGTGGTCCCAGCCTGCATAGCACCACTGCTTAGCCATGTACACCCCTGCACCTGGGCCAGGTGAGAGTATGTTGCAGACCGATTTTAATATAAATTGAAACTGTAAATATTTTAATATAAAATATGGTAAGTCATAAATGAAGTTTACTAGAGGAAATTTTAGCTCTCTTGAGAAGTCTTTCTTTTCTTCTTTGTTTTTTTTTTTGGAGAGGTTTTTGATATAGGGAGCGTGCCTTCACCAGAAAGACAGAGAGTGACAGAGAGACAGAAAGCCAGAAATCACTCCCACGGGGGATGGCCATGCTACAGTCCCTTCTCCCGCATTCTCTTCTTGGGATCATGAGCACGCACACACATGCGCCTGGCCCGGTGGCGTGAGTTTAAGCCACCAGGTCTGGGACGCGAACCACGGTCAACTACATGGGAGTCCAGCGACATAGCCATTATGCCAACTGCTGGTCCCGAGAAGTCTTTCTTTTCCTTCAGAACCTTAGTTTTTCCCCATAAGCTTTGTTATACAAGACATGTTGATATTCTGAAGTGTATTGTGCTAGTAATGAGATAGTCTTTACATGAGTGTTAGAATTCAGATTTTTTCTTTTCGGAGATTTTTGCCTTTAGGGCACGTGCGCTAGCAGGAGAGAGAGACAGACAGATAGCTGTAGTGAGGAGAGTGAGAAATCACCCCCCAGGGAGGATGGCCATGCTGCG